AGAAAGTACTCAAAATTCCATTTATACTCAAAATTCCATTTATACTCTTTCACGATCCTGTTTTATTTGCAATATCATATTCAATATTCAGGTCATCCGTTCTCTCTCAACAAACCCTAGCCGTCGTCATCACTACCACCGTCTTTCAATGCCTTCACCTTTGGTGACGAGTCAGACCATTGGTAGTGGCTTTCATCCATAATCTCTCCATTTGTAGCATCTTTTTATCTTTTTTATTGCTCTCAATAAACCTATAAATAATGAAAATTAAGGGAAATTAAAACCGAACCACCGCCATCAAACTGCATCACAATTCCATTTCTCTATTTTTCAATTAAAACAGGAAGAAGATTTGGTTACAGGTATTATATAGAACTGATGCAAACCTAACCTATTAAACCTTTTAATTTCAGGTATTAAACGCACTTTGCGATGAAGCTTGAAGCTAAAACCAAACAACCACTTCACATTTACGATTTATCAACTCCTGGTCTGTATGTGTTTACCCTTTTTTCTGAAGTATCAATTACTTATGAAAAAGTCAACAATCTCTATCGTAAGTTTTGTTATCCATTCTGCACTCCGTGTAGTGGTTGAAATGCCTTAATGGATTTTTTGGACGTTATCTATGTTGTTTTCCATATTTTTTTTAAATAAGTTTTTTTCAAATTTCTTATTTCACCATAACAGAGCTTGCATTTAAGAGGTCATTGTGTTGTTGGTCAACTATTAGATGTACAATGTACAATCATGAGGACACTTGGTATCTTACATTTCAAACCCTTTTTTTCTTTAAAAAAATTCTAATACAATTTTTATCAGTAATTTATTTTCCCAATTTGCCAAAAATGTCGAAACATTGATTGTTTGATTATAAAAAGTCAAAATGTATAATTTTGTGTCTATTTTGTTTAGATGAGATTGCGATATGGGAGCTACAACCCCATGGTGTTTACAAGATGTATAAGGACCATGAAGAAATTTTGTAAAAGTTAGTTCTTAGTTGGAGTGATAAATTAGTGAGTATTTTAATAATTATAAACTTCTAATATTTGTATTTTAGAACTACTAATGTCGTTCTGAATTCATCCATTAATATTAAATCAACTTCGTATAATGAATGACATTTTGTGTAATAAAGATAGAATATTCAAATAATCAACATCGATATCACGAGCAGTCTGAAGTATATAATGTTTACTTGCATGTTGTTGCCAGTCGTTGGAATAATCATCTTGAACTTGTCAAGATTAGTGCTATTTGTTCAATAGCCTAATCAAATGGAAAAGATACAGGTAATTCCTAGAACGTAAACCTTTAGTTTATATATATAAAGTACATAAACATGTACTTTTGAAGCTCAAAAGTTCTTTTTTCTGGACATTATGCCTTGAGAAGTTTACCGAACTGATCAAATTTTATTTACAATTGTATGCATTACCAAGGTCGTCAAGATTGGGATCCTACCTAGGATCGATTTTGGGTTTGCAAGATCGGGATCGTAAGATCGGGATCGAGATCTTAAGATCCCACAAAATAGAATATAATTTTAATTTATAATATTTAATCATGAAAACTATTTCAAACATTTAGTTTTTCATTCAAAAGTTATAAAAACTTCAAAATATTAATCATAAATCACAATAAAAAATGATAAATGGTAGATTGGTAAAGGATAAAAGGCATAAAGTGGTAAAAAAAATTTCATTTGCAAAAAAAAAAAAAAAAAAAAATCAAAGGAAGGTAGGATCGGATCGGATCTCGATCCTACGATCCTATCTACGATCTTACGATCTTACCTGCGATCCTACCCCAAATACGATCCTTTTACGATCCGGATCGTTTTTCATACCTAGGATCGTAGGATCGTACGATCCTACGATCAGGATCGCGATTTTGACAACTATGTGCATTACTATAACTTTTCAGAATTTTCTAAGTATAATTTTGCAATATGCATTTTGTTAGGACATTATACTTTGAGAAGTTTACATTTTGGGTGGAAATTAATAGATGCATGGTCAATTCGAACGACATAAAAGCAATTTGTTTATGTGATTGTTTATTTTTTACCAATGTTAGTTTTGTTTTTCTGTTTTGCCTTGGTTGAAATTGAAAACATAAGGTATGTTTATCGTTTTCCTATATCATTTTTATTTAAATTGATGCTAGAAATTATGACATACTTTTTATTTGTTTGTTTTTAATAGCAATCTACTTTGATTTCTTCCTATTAAAGAATTATATTTTGTAAAATCACCGATATAAATGGATGGAATTTTTTAACGTATGATGTGTAAATTAGAAAAAAATAATATTACAATACTAAAATTGGGTAGAAAAAAATCAAGTTACATTGCCTTAACAATATAAAAATGAAAGTATAGTGACGTATAGAAAGAAATAAACGTAATAAACAATTAAATGAAAACAGTTTGTTATTTCTGATCTTTTTCTCTTTTTAATTAGAAAAAAGGGTATGTATTGATGTCATTTAATATATTAGTTTTCTTTTTTTAGTTTGTTCATGATTGCGACTATGAGCAATGTTTTTATCTTGTATCTGACATGTTGCAGGGAGTTGATCATACTTACCGTGGTTTCCACGGGTTATAATCTAGTTTTTTAATGTAATGTACTTTTTTTGAGAAGTTTTTATTTATTTATTTATTTGTATTATAAATTTTGTTCAATGCAACATCTTCTCTAAAAACAATTCGTGCAATCTTTGAGTTTTTGTTTTGTTTTTGACAACGCTATCTCTTATTGAATAGTGTTACGCATTGTGCTCGAGTTTATTTTTTATTTTTTCTAATCCAATAAAAGAAAGAGAAAGAAAATATTGACGGGAATAAAGGAGGGGGAAATTTTCCTTATTCCATGTTCCCGAGTTCGAAGGAAATGAAAAAAAATGAAAGTAAAATTTTAAGTTTTTATGTTATTGAGTTAGGAAGGTAAAGAAAATAAAACTAATTTTTTTTTTCCTTTCCCTCACTTTTCTTCCATCAATTAAACTCGAGAACACTTGATATCCCTCATTTCCATCAATTTTCCTCCTTAAGTAGAACTCGAGAACAAGGCGTTAGGGTGTCAACCCAACAAATAAATGGGTACAAAATAGACTCCATAATCATTGTTATTCTACACTACGAAGTGATACAAGGTAAGTAGAGTTGAACTACGAAAACACAAGAAAGTGGTCTGTACATCTTTACGTTAGGTGTTTTGGTTACAAAAAATGGTATGTTGTGTTGTAACTATTAATCTTACATACCGATGACCTTGGCAGTGGCGGAGCTAGATGGGGCGTTAGGGGTACAGCTACATCCCCAAAATAAAATTTATATATATTAAACATTACATATTAATTTTCTATATGTAAGCACGCTAAACTATCTTGCATTCCCATCTCGAAACATTAAACCTTATTGTTTACCATTTTTTAAAGAATAAAAGGGGTTGTTGCCGAGAGTCTAGAGACGACAGTGGATCGATATTTCATCATCAATTCAATAATTTTTGTTAAAAATAAAAATTCCAAGAGGCTTCATGTTTTCACTCATGGTTTGATCTTTGATGGTTCGAATGCTATTTTAAATTTCAATTATGCTTGTACCCCGTATTAAAATTTCTGGTTCCGCTATTAGACCTTGGAATGTCTGCTTTTATCCTAAATCGTTTGTATGTGTGTTAAAATCATAAGTTTTCTAGATTTTTTCTATTATTATCATTGTGACATGTATTTTACTATTTACATGTTTAAAACATTTTTATACTTCAAGAACAAGTAAAAGAATATTCCTAACTCTAAAAAACATGAAATATGTATTTATGTATTTTTAAATTGGTGAAAACTAACTTTCTTAAGAACTCTTTTTACGTTTTTAGAAGTATATATATATATATATATATATATATATATATATATATATATATATATATATATATATATATATATATATATATATATATATATATATTATGTTTTTAGAAATATAAATACATATTTTATATCCCTAGAAGTATAAATATGTTTTTAGAAGTGTAAATATATATTTATATTTTTTAGAAATACAAACATCTTTGTAGAAATATAAATACATATTTTAAGTTTTAAAGAAAAGATAAATGCGTCATATTTATATTTTTAAAGACGTAAAAATATATTTTTTGCTTCTTAAAAAAATATTTATATTTCTAAATAACTAAAAATACATATTTATACTAAATGTTGTATTTATGCTTCTAAAAAGGTAAAAATGTGTAAACGTATATTTATATTTCTAAAAACATAAAAAATATTTTTAAGAATGTTAAATTTTTTTATCATTTTATAAAAACATAAATACGTATTTTTTATTTTGTTTTAAACCATATAAAAAAAAAAAAAAAAAAACATATATAAAAATAACATTTAAATTTAAATAATACATAAACAAGTAACTTGTATGCAGGTGCAGCCGTCCAGATGTGGATCTTGACGTTTTAAGTTAGGCGTGTGTTTGTGCAAGGGTCAAGGGATAGGGAGTGGGCGGTGTCGCGGACTTAGCTATCCGTCGCCCCTAACGGTACGGTATGTCTTTCATTGATTTAAGCCCTTGATTTGTTGTATATATTTCATCGACTTGTGCTTTTTATTGATGATTTTTACTTGATTGTTGAAAACAAAGTCTCTGTTTGATTTGACAAACGCATCAATGTGTATCCGATTATCCATCCGGATTAAATCAAATCGATATTACCTCTAGACGCGAGGCAACTAAAATTTCCCTTTTTTCCTATTAGGGTTTCAATATTCGCATCTAGTAGCTTCATGTAATTTGTCAACTGAACAAGTTTGTCTTTGATACTTTTCCATGCAACCCAAGTGTTTGATAAAATGCTTGAGTGAAATCTTGGAACATGCAACTGTATTCACCTTTGACCAAGGTCTGATCTTCATCTTCTTGTTGCAGATTCTTTTCTGGTTTTCTTGATTAAAAGGCTACATTATCATTACAATGGCTGCATCTGCAGAAACCTTGAAATGTGAGCATCATAAAACAGCAGAAGATGATGACTGGACAATTGTTTTGCGAAAACGCACCAATCCCAAACGAAAATTTCCAAAACTTAAACCCTCAAAACAACAACAAGAAGAGCAACAAACACAGTGGGCCCCACCAGACATCGAAACAACTCCAGAAAAAGAACTCCACTTGATGAACAAGATGAAAATCTCAATTGAAAAACTTGAAAAATCCCAATTCTTCAATGCTTTTCTCGATCAAATCCACACCCCCGAAGCTTCTCAACATTTTCTAAAACTTACACAATCACAATTCAAAGTAAAAATGGTGATATATGGAATTGGTAGCATCGAATCATTTGAATCACCTCGATTGCAACTTAGCCTTGCAATTTTGATGAAAAGAAAACTTGATTGGATTGGTGACATGGAAGTTTTTGATCCGATTATTTCTTTGACCGAGTCAAAGGTCATGGAGGAGCTCGGTTGTCGTGTTCTTTCGGTCAATGAACAAGGTAGGAGAGAAGCGGTTGACCCGATTTTATTTTTCATGCCACATTGTGAAGTTGAGTTATATGATAATTTACTGAAAACCAATTGGAGACATGATTTGTTAAACAAAATCATATTACTTGGAAACAGTTTTGAGAAATATGAGCATCATCGATTGGTGTCTAAGAACCGAGCTTTGGATGAATCAAGGAAACATTTACTTGCAATACAAGAATTCACTAAAGAGTTTGAGATTAAAACTCTCTCAGATGATTATTTTCGAGCCTTTCATGGTTCGAGTTGGCATTTTTTTAGTGTTGATTGTGACACAGATTTGCAATTAACATGTTGAAACTTCTAATTATGATTAAAGATTGGATTGTGAGATTATGTTTGAACATTTGGATGTGAATGGACAAACTTTCTAGTGTTGTTTTTGATGATAATGATGAAGAGAGCATTTTAAAAGATCTATTTTTTTTGTCCCATTGATATTAGTTACAAGTTACAGACTTACAGATTCAATTTAATCCATGCTAAAGATAGTACATGAACAACACCATTTAGGTTTATGGCCTTTCAGTTGGTGCATACTCTCCTCTGTATGAGTTCATTATTATTATTATTATTATTATTATTATTATTAGAGTTTCCATGGTAACAAATTTGTGTCAGGCTAGAAAAAAACATAAACCAGTGGGATTTGATGAAAAAAAAAAAAGAAATAATGTATAAAATTGAGATTCAAAACAAAAAAAATAAAATTTTGAAGAATAAAACTATTATAGAAAAAAAAAAAAAAAAATCGTGCAACGGAAAATGGGGAAGTGAAGCATCTACCTTGCACTTTTTCTTGTTTTAGGCCTTTTATCAAGTTACATGTTTGGATCAAATCAATATACTTTTTTTTAACAGCAAAACACATATATTATAGAAAACCACCTGGGAAAGAACACACGAAAAATGCATACCACAAAGACACCAAAATTTTTAGAAGAATGAAAAATAAAACCACCCCCATGAACTTACTTTCAAGGATCGGGTTACAACACCACTCTAACCAACTAAGTTTTCTACTTTTTTTTTTTTTTTTTTTTTTTTTTTTTTTTTGTCTAGAATTGATCCATGGATAGGATAAGATGTGGACTTTATTTGCAAGACTTGAAGATGAGATGGGTTTAATTGAGCGAGCTAACTTGTTCATGAATTTCCAGATGACCTAGATAAAAACCAAAGTTATAGCTTCTCGAATCAATCCTAGGTATATGTTAGATGTCAAACTATTCTTGCAATGTAGTAGTTATGAGAACGACTAGAAACCAGATGGAAATGAGTGCCACCATAGTCCAATATTTCCCCAAACTTCACATGAAATTGGGCAAAAGGTGAATAAATGGCCTTCTGATTGTGGTTATCGGTTGCAGAAGGTGCACATCATATTGGTACCAATTCCCAATTTGCTAAGGTTTTCTTTTGTTGGCAACCTACCATGACGTACTCTCCATGCTAGGATGTTTAGTTTTCTAGGCACTGGGTAGTTCCATTTCAAACAAATGTTTGTCTTTGGAAGAAGCTAGTCGTCAATGTGGTTTCTCAATGAAGTTATTGTGAATATTCCCGATGGCTCAAGCTTCCATAACCTCCTATCATTTTGATTTGAGCGGGGATTGATGAAGGAGTTTTGAAGATTTAAGTTGTGTTTGATAATGCGGGATGCAAATTCAATGGTACCCCAACAAAAACCTTTTCTATTGGCATTTGAAGGAGCATTGAAACCCCCATCATTACCGTATAAGTTTGTTATGACATCTTTCCACATCTCTTTTTTATTTGATTTGAAACGCTACTACCACTTTCCTAAGAGCACAAGATTTTGAGATTTCAAGCTTCCGATGTTGAGGCCGCCATCCTTAACTTTGGAGAGAACTTTTTCCGAGGCTATCCATGACATTTTGTTTTTGTTCGCTGACCCGCCCCAAAAGAAACGCCTTTTGCGGTTTTCTACGGTGTTGATTATCATTACAAGAGCCTAATATAGTGAGATAAGTATGTTCCAAGATCGTCGAGCACTGATTTACATAATGTTATGTAACATTCGTAATTTGGTATGTTTCCCTTTTAGACATTAATGCAAATTCTTTACCTTTTTGGTTCCTAGCTAGTACGCGGGGCGTACTCTATGAGTACGCTTAACGTACTAGCTCTTTTCTGGACGTGAGATTCACCCACGTACGCGGGGGGTACGTGGAGTACGCATGACGTATGTGGTGTAGGGAAAAACCCTAATTTTGGGGGTTTACACCCTATTTAAGCAACTTAAACCACCTTCGGACATTCTATTGATCAACCTCCATCACCCTATACCCTAAAAATGAAACCCTAAGTGCCTTTTGTGAGTTTGAGCTTAAAAGTGAGATTTGGTGGTGTTTTAGTGAAAAAGGAAGAAGAATAGCACTTGGTGGTTGCTTGGGACTAACTTGGTCTTGTAGATCCAAGGCCATCTTCATCTTAGTAAGTCATTTGAGGTAAAAAGCTCCCATCTTAATGATTCTACGTGCTAGATCCAACTTAGGGTGTTATTTATGCATTTTTTGGTCTTTTGAGCTAAAGTTGAGCTTTTGATATACTCTAGAAGTCATAGATGTTAGATCTTAGCCCCATTAAGGTCCCTTATCCTTAAAAATGTAATTTTTATGAGAGATATTGGCCCATGCAAGTGTTAAGAGTCTTATTAAGCTTCTTTTTGTAACATCCCGAATGTCAGAAGTATGATTTAAGGGTTTAAAGTGTAATTTCGAAGAAGGGACTCGACGAGTATGTATGCTTACTCGCCGAGTCGGAGCGGGTTTGGGTCGCGAATTAAGTGACCAACTCGCCGAGTCGGAAGTTGGACTCGACGAGTTGGTGTTGGAATGAGAAAACCCTAATCTTAGGGTTTTCACCCTATTTAAAGGACCTTATGTCTTTCTCCCAGCCTCCTAATCCCCCTGAGAGTTCCAGAAACCCTAATCTTCATGTGAGACTTCATTATTGAGGAGATTGGAGCTTGGAAGAGGAATTTGGTGGAAAGAGCTTGAGGAATTAAAGGCTTGCTGCAAAGGAGTGGTGTAGATCCTAGATCTACTTCAGTTGGAGCATATATTAGAGGTAATAATCTGTTGCTTGGTCTCTTTTGTATCTAGATCTATTATCATTTGAGATTTGGGGCATTTTGGTAGGATTGAGAGCTATTTCGAGTTAGAGGCTTAGATCTGAGATTGCTACTTTAGATCTTGGCTTGTGATGGTCCAAAATGTCATAAAGCTCCTGTCTAAGAGTTGTTGGTGAATCCCCCTAATCCTTAACCCTAGCCTTTGTCCGTTTTTTGCCTATATCTCCTTGGTTTCACGTAAAGTTTGCAACTTTATGCGAGGAACAGATTGTAGAAGGGTGGATCTATGGATTGGAGCCCCTACATGGCCCGAAAAACCTCTGAATGGATTGAGAACTAGAGGGACTCGGTGAGTCATATGGGTGTACTCGACGAGTTGTATGAACATAAGCATGGACTCGACGAGTTGGAAGAACAACTCGACAAGTCTGTTGAAGATTGCCTTGGACTCGGCGAGTCTGTTCTTGGACTCGATGAGTCAGGTCGCAGAACCCCAACCTCTTTTGGTTAAAGCCTTGGATTAAGTGAGTTGGTTGGCGACTCGGTGAGTCGAACATGATGGGACTTAGAGATCGTTGGACTCAGCGAGTCTTGGTGCGACTCGGCGAGTTAGGTTGTGTTATGAGAGTTTACTGTCCCGGCCTACTAAAAGTAATATAATAAAAATAAAGTCGAAATCAGCCGACGGAGTCTAAATGAAAGTTGTAGAGTATAATCTCACCTACGCGTGGATATAAAGAACGTCAAAAACAAAGCTCATGTGCGAAACTTAGGCAAGTTTGAAGTCTGCTTAATCGAGTACGGCCAGCGTACCCGGAACCGCCTCAGCTACGCATGCGATAACGTCACTCGAGTACATATGCATGCAATGCCATTGCGTACGCCCAACGTAAGGCTTAGTACGCCCAACGTACCTAGATTTACGCCCAATGTATGAGACTGATTATTACTTTCAAAATTAGAAGTATTTACTATATTAATAAGAATTAAATACAAGGTGACTGTTTTTCCCTTGATGAATTTTGGTACCATCGATGTACATTGAGAAAGAAATAGAATAATTAAAAAGATATATCATGTTGATTTGCAAACATTAAATAAAATAATTAAGAAGATATATCATGTTGATTTGCACACATATAGGATGGACAGTACATAAATTATAGATTTAAATTTGGGGAGGATTTGAATTTTGAATTTTGGATTTTATTTTAGGGATAGAGGAAATTGGTGAAGGTTTGAGCGGAAACATTGATGGACAGCGTGTTTGACCAAACATTGGTCAAGATGACGTAAGCAATTTGATCTAAGGGTTGAAAATATATAAGTGAAACACAATCAAAAGTTTTTATTGCTTTGAATGATGAAATAAAGTTCCTCTTTTAGACATATAATTCAATCTTTTATTTTGTAAATGTAAACGTCTTAGTTTTCACCCTCTCTAGCGTCATTGTAATTAGGTTTATTATTTAAATTTGTAAAATTTTGAGATGTCATTAATATCTAAATAATAATAATATTTCAATGGTAAATGTTTACTAATAAATTTATCAACAAACCCACAAGGAATTATAAATAATTGTTTTAGGAAGATTAAAAGATTTATAAAAGTTTATAATTTCATAAAAAATGGTAGTTTTTTAATATTTATATTAAAGTTGTAATGAATAACATTGTAACAATGTTGACAAATTCACATTCAAACGGAATAATAGAGTAAAAAACGATTAAAATTCTTAATTTGTTTGAGTTTAAACCCAAAAGGAAAATAGATGAATAATTAAACATTTCATAAAACTTAAAATGTATTCAAATGATCAAAATTCTAACCCACAATCGAATAATATGAAACAAAATTATCAAAAAACAAACCTAAAATCCAAATAGTATGTAAACATAATATGAAATCAATAAACTCAAATCACCCAAATACTCAAACAAAATCATGAAAATCATAAATTATTTTTCTTTCTTTGGAATTAACAATTTTGGATTGCCCTCTCCAGAAGTACGATCTGTCATTGATGTTGATGATTGTTTGGTTGAGGACATTATTGCCAAATTATCAAAATTGTAAACATCTTCTAGGTTGTATTTTAATTCTTCATGTCTACACACTTTTTTAAAGGATGTTCATTTAATTAGTGGACTGTTGCAGTACGTTTATCAAGATTCTAAGCGGGTGTGATGTTA